GATCCGCCTGGCACTAGTTTTATCTATACTCACCAGCACAAAAAACGGAGCACTTGCATTTAAAAAAAAAACTTAAAATTTTAATTCTCTTTAAACTTTTATTATTATAATAACATAAACACAAATGAAACAAACTGTTTTAAGTAATTTCTAATAAAACTTAAGTGCTTATCCGAGAAAAAAGCATAAAAAATCAAAAATAAAGATTACACCATTCTTATCACTTTTAAAAGTGCAAAGGTTAGTACTCTATTGTTATTGTTTTGTTCTTGTCGATGTGAGTAAACTGTCAAGTCGAATCAAGTGTCAAACACAATTTAAAGTTGAATTGCATTGATTTAATCTCCAGAATTATGGTTACAAATCCAGAAACAGCGACTGCTATTTATGCATTTCTTCAAGACAGAAGAAGTGAGCGATGTTTTGCTCAAAAGTATCAAATATCCAATAGTAGTGTGCTCCATATATTTACACGTTGCTTGGCGATCAAAGCTTACACTAGACGACTTGGAACCAGTCCCAAACAAAGAACTAGTGGCAGTGATGATCGCTGTAACCTCTTAAAAAGTCTACGAGATCGTCGTTTCAGGACTTCAGTACGTCCGGAATACTAACATAAATGAACGAACAATTAGATGAAGGCTTGGAGAAGCAAATTTAAGCAGTTGCAGAACTGCAACAGTCCTACAACTTCTCAGGAGCCTTCAAGTTGTGCGGCTTCAGTTTGCCAGAAACCATGCTCATTTTACTGTAAATAATTATAAAGCACATTTTATTTACCGATGAGTCCAGGTTTACCTTATGGTCTCCAGATGGCCGATTGTGAAAGACTGCATGAGTGTTTTGCAGAATATACCTTAAGCCTAGTTTAGGTCAAGGTGCTCAATTATGGTGTGGGCTGGAATTTTTTTAGAGGCACGCACATAATTGTACATCGTTCTGAGAGGCTTTATAACAGTTGCAGGCAAGTTGATGAAATTCTCCAAGATTTTGCTGTGCCTTATGCTGGCTTTGTTGAAAATTACTTTATTGTGATGCATGATAATGCCAATCCTCACAGTGGGAGAATCACTCAACAGTTTTTAAATGAAGTAAACATTTCCTTAATGGATTGGAAAGCATTGTATCCAGATGTAAACCCAATCAAACATGTTTGAGACATGCTTGGTCGAAGGATACAAAGTCATGTTCCTGCCCCTTTAACCGTAAGTCAGTTACAAGAAGCCCTTTTAGAGGAAGGGGTACTTATTCCTCAACAGGACATTTCTCATTTGATTTTAAGCATGCCAAGGATAATTCAGGCAATAGTTCGAGCACATGGAGAACACATTTATTATTAAAATCAGTTTGTCTGGACACATGATTAAAGTTTTCATTAATTGAACGTCATTTTGTTATAACATTTACTTACTTTTTTTTCCTTAAATTTTTAAATTGTTATCTACTGAGACAGTTCTTTGTTCAAAAGTTAAATTTTTATTAATAATTACTTGAAACAGTTTATATTGTTTGTGTTTACGTTATTTTAATAATCAAAGTTTAAAGAGAATTAAAATTTTAAGTTTTTATTTTAAAAATGCAAGTGCTCCGTTTTTCGTGCCAGTGAGTGTAGTTTTCAACTGTTATTTTAAAACAGCTGCATCCTGGGCGCTTGCCCTTAGTCAAAACATAAAAGGTTATGAAACTGGTTCCTTGTGGCATGTTTAAGTATCATGTATATATGGGGTTAAGCCATAATTGACTGTAATGAAAATTACATTGTTTATAACATTTTTGAGGCTTCAATTTCCACTCCAGAAATTGTTCTCAAAAAAGATATTTAAAAAAGGTGTTTAAAAAATTGTGCAAAGAGTATAGTGAAAAATATATGAACTTGTTGCTTATAATTTTCACATAATTTTTTAAATACTTGCCTTCTTTTAAATATTTTTGAGAAAGATTTCCATAGTGGAAATCGAAAGCCCTAAGCCATAGGTAAAGATAATCTATCTACCTCTGTATCTCTATAATGCATAAAAACATTAGTCGCTCCGTACGTGACCATGGTAGGGGTACATTGAAACGATGCCAGCGTGCGTAGCGAAATGACAAAATTGGAATATTGGACAAAATATTTTTACTCATAAATTTTATCAAAAATGTGTGCAAATACATGTTGCGTATTTAATTGTGATAATAATAGCAAAAACAGTGAGTGTAGTTTTTATAGGTTCCCAAAGATTACATATAAATTAGAGAAAAGAAAAAGATGAATTCGTGCTATTAATATGAAAAAGTAAATATCACATAATTTCATTTTTATGCAATTGAAATAGGAAAAATTTAAATAATTTACCTTGAATGATATTTCATAAGGCTTCAAGCTAACTGCAGATGACTTTAGCTTTTGTTGTTGTTGTTTGTTTGTGTTTAAATGACTGCGGACACTAAATCCATTCGCCAATCTTACAATTTGAGGTGTAGTGTGTGTGTGTGTGTGTGTGTGTGTGTGTGTGTGTGTGTGTGTGTGTGTGTGTGTGTAGAGTAATTGTCTTGATACTTCTACTACTACTAGCAAAGTCGACGTCATTGTCTTTGCTAAGAGACGCTAATTGTATCCGAACGTCTGCGGTCCCTCCGGTGTGTACCGATCACACAAGGATAGAAATTATTTTCATTAATTAATTTTTAATAAACGAAAATTTCCACCCAGGTGGGATTCGAACTCACGACCTTTAGATTTAAAGGCAGGCGCTCTTACCACTGAGCCACAGAGGGGGTTAAACTTTAGCTTTTATATCATAACTTTTACTATTATTGTTTTTAATTATATGCTCTTTTGCGTGAAAAACTTGATTTGTCAGTACAAGATTTTTCCCTTTCTTTTCCGTTTGGAGTTGAAAAGATATATTATGATGAATTATGAGAAACCCAGTTTTTAATACTTCATTTATTTTGTACATAAACTGAAAAAATATAGTTAAAAAATTAATTTATTAATAATTGTCAATTTTGCATGTATTTAACAATGTCAAACATATGTCATATGTTTAACCTGAAAATTGGGACTCCAAAATTGTCAGATGAAGGCGGTAGGTGTCGCATCAGTCACGCACGGAGCGAATACTGGGTACATGTAGAAGAACAATAAAAATAATGACAGATGTGTTTCTCTTTTCATTGGTCTCCTATCAGAAAATATTCAGTATTGTAATTTAAACTGCCTTGGCAGGTTGTAGAAAAAATATAAATACCTACTGTTTACTTCATACTATTTTATTGACTGCTATTATTAACAACTACTGCCAGTGATTACTTGACCACAAAGGTCTCCAAATGTGGCTCATATCAGCAAAAAGCTGGGAGTAAAATCATAAATTTTTTTTTGTGATCTAATTCACACAACAATGCAAACAAATGATTCGATTTTGTTTATTCCATAGTATGCAACTTAACTCTTTCGGTCACACTTTTTTTTATTAAAATAAGGCCCGTTTTTGATGTCGTCAATTGAAGACATTGTGACTAACTGATTGCAAACTAATGAGTATGACATAATTTTACACTAAACTAACTGACTAAACTGACTAACCTAAACGTTAGGATAAAAATACATGTATTTACTTAAAAAAAAAACATGATTTAATGATTATAATATATTAAACAAAATTTCGGTTTATGAAATTATACAATTTTTTATTTTTTGTCAAACATAGATGTACTTTACATTTTTGACAAAGAATATGGGAACTGCCTTTACATTCTGGGAGTTTACATCTTCAGATTTCGTTTCTGCATGTAATGGAAAATGTGCTATCCTGTCAAATTTTACATCATCAATAGACCAATTTTCCTGTTTCTTTTTATTGTTCAAAGGTTCTGATTTAGTTCCATTTTACGGGTGCTCTATTTTTCTAGCTCCTATGTGACATGAAATTAAAGCTTCTGCAATATAGGCCCTAAAATGAACTGAATATAAAGTTTCTTTAGATGACCGGAAAGAGGGCTAAATCTCTTTATTTGACTCATTTTTAGATGTAATAATAACCGTGAAAATGTTTATTACTCAAGTTGTTGAGTCACGATGTCGTCAAATGACGACATATAATTTCAAAAAAATAATTTGTCATATTATGGAAATTTTGAAGTGTACTTACTATTTAATTTTATTATTTGCTCCTAGAAGTTTCCAATATTTGAAAAGAATACAATTTATCTCAGTGTTAGATGGTTCTCATCTCAGTGTTATACTATTTCATATAGCAACCAACAAAATCATCATAGCCAGAATGATCGCCAACGTTCGGAACGGACAGGCACCCTAAGAAGAAGAAGAAGAAGTTAGAAGGGTAAAAAATATAATAATTTTAGGAGCTTTGATAGAAAGTTGTGAATGTAAATAGAGAAACAGCTTTAGTTCAACTGGAATTTAACAGATTCTATTACGGGTCATAAATCTAATTAAGATTGGATGTTGAAAGATAACTACACTGTTGCTATACCATAACAGCCAGTAATATTTACTTGAATGAATTTAAAATTCTTGTGTGGTCAATTGATTACACAGTGACTGAAAGTGTTAAGGCACAACTTGGACTGAGTAAAATAAACATTTGGATGTTTATTCTATTTTGAGAGCAACTGAAATGTCATTCTTTGAAGATTTGTAATATGTAGATTAAAACCTTATACAGAATGGAATTTGAAATATGTGAATTAAAACGGTATACAATACTGAATTTGAAAATTTTACAAACCAATAAATGAAATAAAGAGTTTATTAAATATAGTTTGTAATATATTATGAACAAAATAATTTTATAAATTAAATAAAAGCTGTGACGTCAAACAGTTCCAGAAGAATATTAAGAAAGTATGATTAAATTATATTTAAATATTAATTTCATATATATCGCTAGATTAACTAAATCTGATTTGTGTAACTTTATTTGTTTATCTTTTTTAGGAAATGCAAAGTAATTCTAAAGAAGGGCGGAGGAGGTACTGTTTGGGACCCTCAAATGGGCAACTGCCTTACTTGCTTCAAGGAGCCCATGCAGACGGCCCTGGACGACCCAATAACTCATAAAAATAAAGAAGGTAATTCTAATACATGCATACATTGTCTACATACATAATATTTATTGTTTGCTATTTTACCACTAAGTGGAAATTAGATGTAGCACATTTAACTTTACTACATAATCTACTACTTACTTATATCAGTTTTTTCTTTAATGTGTAAATGTAGCAACATTAAAGAATGTTATTTCTGACTAAATATAGTGTACACCATCAGTTGGCGTATGTTATTACAATATCAGTTTGTGTATGACTGTCCCAACTATTGCTACTCCTTAATCAAGGTTTTTGTCTTCACCTTTAGTTTTTTTAGCACCTATGTACATTTTAATTCAATGTGATTCAGGTCAATCACTTTCCTCTATAATTCTCTCAAGTTTATTTGGCTTTTTTACCTTTACTTTTATCTTCATTATTGGAAACTTTGAGGATTTCATTCTTTCATGTTTCTATATTCCAACAATATTTCCAAAATTGATATCTGCATCACCCTCGATTTTGTTTAGATTCTAGTTCAAGGAAATAAGATCTCGTAACACTGACCCCGCCAGATAAACCACAGTTGTTTTGAGTAGTATGGACCTCCATAACTCTTATCAACCATTTTCCATTCACTCCTGAATGTAGGTCTCTCCCAATTGCTTCCATCTTTCTCTATCTTGCGCCAATCTAATCCACTGTTTGGCCACTGCTCTTATGTCGTCCACCTATCTTTTTTGAAGTCTTGACATGCTTCTTGTTGTCATCCTTGGTCTCCATTCTAGAATTCTCTGTGTCCACCTGTTGTCATTATACGGGTTATATCGGGCTACGTGACCTTCCCAGCGCCATTTCATTTTTGTAATTTCTTCCACAATATCCCTAATCTTCGTTCTATGTCTTATCTCAGTGTTTCTAATCTTGTCTCTCAGTAATATTCCAAGCATGATTCGTTCCATTGCTCTTTGCATTGTTTCTAATTTTTTAGCAGATTTTTTGGTAAGGGCTACTGTCTCCAACCCGTAGGTATAAACTGGTAGTATGCATGTGTTATACACCTTTTTCTTTAAGTGTACAGGAATGGAGGTGTTTTTTACATATACAAATATATGCTAGTTTACCGAAAGCGCCCCAAGCCAGTTGTGTTCTTCTTTTAATTTCAGCTTCTTGATCTGGTTTTCCTAGTTTGATGACATTACCTAGATATACATAATGTTCAACATTTACTTATGGTATGATTTTGTATTGTTATATTATTGTCTGGTCTCGGCTCAGTATTTTTGTTTTACTGTATACCATAACATAATGTACCTCCATAACAAGAACCTATATGTTTCATACAGTCGATTTTTTAGACTTAATTAGTTATTAACGGTAAAAACGGTAAATTTTCGCTTTTTTCGTCTATCAGTAAAAAGTTATGTATTTGAAACAAATTTGAGAGTAAGGTCCGCTTGCCATTATGCTAATTTTTGTACTGATTTCAGTACTAAAAATGTTAGTTACGCGAGTTGATTTAGTATGAAGAATGTGGGTTTGTGTTTGCAACTACCTTAATTTTAATTAGCGTGTAGGCTTTAGTTTGTTTTATGATTAGAGTAAACAAAACGAACGGGTAAATAATGATGGTGAAAAAGAAGTTAGAAATATGTGCAGTAGCTTTAATTGTAATAATCACTCTCCAGCAAATATTATTTGTACTTGCTACAATTTTCAAAATATGTCACAAGTAAATGCTTTGCCTAACCTTAATAATAAATTTTTAGATCTAGTTTTCTGTACTCAGAGAGATGCAGTTGTGTCGATTTCAACTGATACTCTATTGAATACTTCGCAACAACATTCAGCTTATACTATAGTGTTACATGAAGCCAATTTAAATTTGTTTCTTAAATATGATGTCTTCTATCATGATTTTAAAAAATGTAATTATCAAGTTTTAAATGAATATTTAGCCTCAATTCCTTGGAACAATGTATTAGATGAATCAAATATAAATTGCTGCTTAGAAAATTTTTACCATAAATTTTATATGATGCCGTCAATATGTTTGTTTCTATCAAACAGTTTAAATCATTAAACTTTGCAGTTTGGTTTTCGCGAGAATTAATTGAGCTTGTCATACAAAAAAAATAGCTCACAAGAATTTTAAAGCATCAGGCAACTTATATGAGGAATTTTCAGTGTTAAGGGAAAGATGTAAAGCATTACAAGCAGTATGTTATAAGAACTATTTAGAGAATATTCAAGCAAATCTTTCAAGTAATCCCCACTCTTTTTGGAGGTATTATGTTAGTACTACACGTGGGTCTAGTGCTTATCCTAATGTAATGTCTAATAAAGGTGGGGATGTAATAGCTCAGAATGGTGATGAAATAGTCAATCTATTTGCCAGCTATTTTTCATTTACATATAATGATAGTGAGTGTAATGTACCTAATTTTAAATTGGACTATAATGTGGATTTCCAGAGTGTGAAGTTTAGTCTGACTGATGTTTTCGAGGGGATTAGCAGTTTAAAAACTACATATTCTTCAGGGCCTGTAAAGCCTTCAGGCTTTACAACAAATTTTTAATTTATCATTGTCATCATCTGTATTTCCACAATATTTAAAAAATAGTTTTCTTACACCTATCTATAAATCTGGTAATCGCGACTGTGTTAACAATTATAGAGGTATAACTATTCAATCAGCAATCCCGAAACTTCTTGATAAATTGGTATCGATAAATCTCACCTGGGCTTGCAGAAACATAATTATTGATGAACAACATGGTTTTTCTAACGGGAAATCAACTGTAACAAACCTTGTCAATTACCAAAAATACTTGTTGGGTGCATTTGAGAATAAAATTCAGGTTGACAGCGTTTACACTGATTTCTCATAGGCCTTTGACCAGGTTAATCACAATCTTTTGGTCCACAAACTTCATGCATCTGGCTTTGGTGACCCCATTGTTAATTTAATTAAAAGTTTTTTTATGTGACGTACACAGCAAGTTCTGCTGAATGAAAATAAATAATGATGCTTAAGAAAACAATCATACACTACTTAAAAAAAGCGCATGTAGAGAAAGAGATGCATCAAGAGAAGAGGGTTTTATGCAAATGAATATTAAATATGTTGAAAAACTATTACTAAAAAACCCTTTGGCATATAAAAACTTTTTACGAATGAATAATAATTTGTTTAAAAAATTATTACGACCAGTTTAGAATAACCTCACATTTGGGTAATATTTTATCATTTTAGTACAAGAAATTAGAACATGCTCTTAATTTTTAGTACTGAATCGGCACGCGCATCTAATTTGTAGATACAATAGTTTATCGTACCAAATTCTGTACTGAATTTAGCATAAGGGCAAGCAGATCTAAGGAACGTATAAGTCATATAAAAACCTTCAAAATGGCGTTTTTTAAATGTTTCTATCCTTATTTTTTGCTTAGGAAGTTGTAAAATAAGTAAGAAAGTTCGGTTTTTTATAAATGTTAATGACTTTTTTATAAATGAACTTAGAACCTTCATATTACATGAAATGTTGGGACTTGTGGTGCTTAAAATATGATCAAAATTTCAAATCGATCATTCAAATATTTAATTAATTTTTTTATACAAAATTAAATTTTCAACATAAATTAAATTAAATTTCGCGGGCTCTTGTGATTGGGCTCTCGCGCACCGCCGAGAGAGTATTTAAACGAGCGCCGAAAATGCCCAGTCGACCAGTACTAATCGAGTAACGACGAGAAGTAGATCCACCAGGCTTGAGAATGGCAAGTGAGACCTTGCCGAAACGTCGCCAAAACAATGGTTTTCAAGAAAACCAGCACTTTACAACGCGGAGTCAAACCCGGAAAAATAGTGACAGCACATAATAGTTCCCGCGGAAACCTCAAAACAAACATATATATATATATATATATATATATATATATATATATATATATATATATATTGTGATATTCAAACTCTTAGTGCGCCAAGCAATTAATTAATTAAAATTATTTAAATGATATGATTATGATTCTATCACACTTTGTTAATTCTCTTATCTCAGGGTTATATTCGTGCTTCAATATCTATGCTTTACATGTGAAATGTAAGGTCCAAAGAATACCGGAATAATAAAAAACATATATGATATAACATTATATTGAAATAAAAATAATGAAATAAAATTCACACTATATATTGTTTTCAATAAACAATATCTCATATAATGATTCTTAAAATTTTGTTCTACGTACGTGAACCTTCAAAATTAATGGTACAAACAATATTAGTTAAAATCTCAAAATCCCAATTATTATTCTAAATCTCCTAATCAAAATATTTATATCTCTTCTAAGGTAATTGTAAAAATTGTGTTATCAATAAAATAAAAACTGCAGAAAAACAAAACTATCTCTCTATGATGATGAGTGGTCCAAATCCTTGTTCCTTGTAGCCTACACTATCTATTCTTAGCAGCTCCCTAGGTAATCAGCAATCTTACAACAAATTGTTGCAAATTTATCGTCCTTAATGGTCTCCTTCAAATGCACGAACCGTTCAAATTATGCTAGCCTCTTCTCCTCTCGATAAACTGAATCTCTCGTTGGTCTGAGTGAAAAATGACTCTTGGAATATCTTCTCTTTACGATAAACTGAATCTCTCGTTGGCCTGAACAGTGACTGTTGGAATATAAGTAGAAAAAGCTTCTGTCAGATACACTAACTACACGAAAACTCACAAACTTTCACTGCTACTGCTTCCTACCTCTGGGAAACTACCCGAGAACAACGGCCGCTCGCCTTGCAACCTTGGAAACCAACTAATTATCTTTTTTTTCTTTAAAAACTAACTAAAGTCTCATTCTCAAACCAACCGTCCCACCTTTTTCAATCTCATACAATCAAAACGCGTCATACATCTCTCCATTTCGATAACATAAACAAATTTTTACCTACAATTATAAATTTCCGAACATTATTTATAAACTAATCTTTTTCTACCAATTCTTATGAACTAACAAAAACATATCTTTCTAAAAT